TGGATTGGCCAGTGGCAGTATCGATGGACTCAAGTGTGGCAATAGTAGTGAGGATGGCTCAGAATCAGGCAATGTTTTGTTCTGCTGTGCATAAGGTCGCTATGAGTCGGTACCGACTCAATGGCACCTAATAACAACAACAACAATGGACATTATTGGAGTCCTCGTGTGGTGCTGAGGATAAGCACTAGACCACAAGGTCGGTTTGAACCAAAAGGTTGGTGGTTCAAAAATCACCAGTTGCTCCTCAGAAACCCTATACAGGGTCTCTATGAGTCAGAACTAACTTGAGGGCACTTCACAACAACAACAACAGCAACATGGGCATTATTTGGTAAACATTACTCCATCTAGAGAGAAACACAAACCAGAACCCTTAATCTGCAGTTCAATTCTATGTAGAGCAATGTATTTTAGATGCTAAGCATTAAAACAGTCTATTTGCAAATTCTCAGTATTAAAGATATGAGTATTATATAAATGCAGTGAGAACTCAATCTCCCAGAACTACAGTATGGAAGAACTTTTTCAAATTCAAACAGGATGCTTTTTTTATTGGTAGAACTTCTAATCTAAAAACTGCCACTAACATTTATCTAGATACCATTCCTTATACTAGCCTCCTTTTTCCTTGAGTTCTCTGGAAAATCAAAGCAGTGTTTTAAATAAAACTTTCAACTAAAGCATGGTATAGTACTCCAAGTTCTAGCCTTTTTTCTCATTCCTCATGGCACTGCCGACAAAGTTGAGTACTCAATAAACATGACTGGCTATTTTTAAAAAAATACATATGCATTAAGAATTTAAATAAATGGACACTTCTCAAATAGCCTGACAATAATATGCAAGATGAATCTGAGTGGGGAACAGACCAAGGGAGGAGATTAAAAGGCCACTGCTAACATATAGCTCAAGGATATACTTTTCATTAAAACTACTCTCTCAAAAACTCTTGCTAAGGGATTACCTACATTTGAACAATTTTTTTAAACACCTAAGAACTAAAAGGAGCCCTAGAGGCATGAGGCTGTCGGCTACTATAAAAATTTAGTCTCAGAAACCCTAATGTTTGCTTTTATTCTGTCCAATAGGGTCACTGTGAGTCAGAATCCATTAACAGGAATGGGTTAGTTACCAGATCTAAAGAACCAGCTGATTTGTTTCATTTGAAATACGCTAATTCTAAATGGTAAAATTAAATACAGTTGAAATAATTCTGCTTAAAATGCACTTTATATTGTTGTTGTTAGTTGTTGAATCAATTCCAATTCATGACAATCTGACAATCCCATTTGTGCAGAATAGAATGCTCTACAGTGTTTTCAAGGTTGTTATCTTTCAGAAGCAGGTCACAGGGCTTGTCTTCAGAAGGGTTGCTGGGTGCATTCAAACTACCAATCGTGCTAGTAGTGAAGCATTTTAACCATTTGCACCACCTAAGCAGCCAACTTTATGGTAAGTAGTCTATTTGTGCATTCCATATCTCCC